GCCTTTTTCTTATCATTTACTAAGACATTTGTAAACTGATGGAGACTTCTGACCTGTATGAATGTGATCTTTATCAGTTAACCATTTGTTTTCTCCTCTTAGCTTTAGGGCAACCACAAATGCCTGAGGAAGTCACGCATATCCCACCCGGAAGGCTGGGGGGGGGGTGCAGTTTGCTAGCTTGTGTTTGCCCTCAGCTTGCCTTATGCTACCACATCAGGTCTGTCTTCAGAGTTGTCCGTGGATATAATGCAGGTACACAACTTTCATTCTACCTGGTTTATTAGACAAATGAGTTCATGTGATCTCTTACAAAACTTGCCAGCAAGAAAAATAACAGGATAGCTTTAATGCCTCATGAAATTTTTAGAAGTAACCTCGATATGATTAAGAAGAAGTGAATTAAGTAGATATAAGTGGGATTAAAATGTATACATGAAATTTTCAACAATGATGACAATATGTCTACTTTAAAATAGCTTTCAAAATATTTTTGGTAATTTTACACCCTAAAATTTTCATAAGTGAAATGATAGAAATTTATTAGAATATCTAAATTTCTAAATATGATAACATACTGAAACATTACTTAATGTAGCTTTATCTACTTTTGGCTTGTAGAGAAACTAAACATATTTGGGTCTGTTAGTAAACATCTTGTACCACATTTAAAAATTGTACTATGAAGCAGCATATGCTTCCATAAATTATGAAATGTATCCATAAATTTGCCAATACACAGAATGTTGGTATGTAAGCAGTTGATAACTGCTGCTTCTCAGTAGAAATTAGGGTTTCAGAGGGTTGGGAATACTAGTTAACATATGTAATTAAACCTACCAGAAATAGGAAAGCATCTCTGTATCCAAGGGAAATGTGAGAAATAAACCCACCGACCCAATCAAAAGAGGGCCACAGAGACTTGGAGCTCAGTGAAGCCAGCTTTACCCAACGTTCTTGCAAGAGCGGGTGTCTGATGGATAGGCACACTCGGGGCAGTTTCAGCAGATAATTTATCTCCTAGCGCGTAAGTCCTTCCCCTGGTTCCTCAGTGGCTGAGTACCACAGGGGTTGCAGCCTTACCTGGACGTGGCCTATGCCCATGAAAGGCAAGAAGTAGTCTGATCGGAATAAATGTACGTTCCTCGAGGTGACGCAGAGACTTTCAGCCCCTCCTCTCTCTGTTCTTTGGTGCATGCCTATTGCAAAGCCCTGGGGTATTAGCTCACGAAACGGGGAGGGGAAGAAGAACCAGGAAGTTAAGGTTTGGGTCTCCATTGTCAGGAGGAAGGTTCCTATATGTTTCCAATACGTTGTAAACCTATTGTTAATCAGCATAGCTTTTATTTGGTATTTCTGAAAATAAATCATCTCCCTTCTCACAGAGTCAGATGTGCTTTGGGTTAAGAAAAGGTATGAGGTACGAAGATGCATTTTTGTTACAGGAAAGAGAAGTTTTGTTCGAAAAGTAGAATGAGTTTCAGAAGAGGAAAGGGGACAATAAGGGACAAATTAACTGCATATAGAAAGTCGCAAAGAGAAAACCTTGTGTAATTAGGCTGGCTAAAAGGGAATGAATTCATAAATGTTTAAAGATAAATTTTAATATCATTTACCTGAATATATTCATGTAAAACTAAACATTTCCTTTCATCTGCTGAAAGTGTAACTGAACCAACAGGAGTTGGCTCCATGGTGAGTCACAGATAAAAGCTACACCGGGTGGAGTTGTTGGACAAAGTAAAATTGATTTGCAGCGGTGACTCCCCAAGCAAGGGTGGGTGGGTTCCTTTTATTTAGGGTTAGGATGGATATTTAGGTAGGGAGGCCTTGTCACTGTAGAGGCGGATATAAGATAGCACACGCATGAGGAAAGATGCCCACACTACATTGTATATTATGTAAAGGAGGCTTGAGATCCTCCTTAGGCAAAGACTTTGGTTTTATAATGAGGTAAAGATAGTTGTCAGTCACTCTCGAGGTCGCGCCTTGGTCCATCTGCACAGGTGAGAGGGGTTTAGCTCCATCTGGTCTGGGTGGTCTGGACCAGCTGGAGGTCTCCTCAGGGCAGTAGCAATCTAGGACTCTGTCTCTGGGGTGGTTTCATTTTCCATTTGCCAGAGTTAAGAGACAAACTGAAAAGAACAGCTCAAGGAACCATGTGGGACAAAGGTTGGTGAGTACAAGCAGGTGGGTGGTCAAGGTCAGGGCTTGGGGTCTAGCTGGTGACTAAAGGACCAAATTCTCTTGGTCTGCTCCTGATGAAATACCGCAAAAGGTTTTTCTTTCCCTTTTAAGTAGTTTGACCAGAAATCGAAAGATTGTGTTTTACTGAAATAATTTCCTGTGTTATCTTTATCATCAGGTCTTTGATTACTTAAGAAAACTGAGTCTTCTCAATATTAAGAGCCAGTTTTGCTCACAACGATGTCACCTTCTGTATTTTCCTTTAAAATCATTTGTCACTTTGGTTAAAGAGGTGAAATCTAGTTTCATAAAGATCTGTCATCCTAGTCAAGTGTTCAAAACTAATGGTATTTTTGAAGAGCTGAAAATCAAATTCTAAATGAAGTCTTTCTGACCTGGAACTAACTAGGGATATTCCAGAGGGCCCCTGGAACATCTCAAGATTTGTCTCTCTGTTAAAGGAGCTATCAAACTAATATTCGGCTTTTGTTAAATTACACGGGAAGCACTCACAAATAACTGATGCTAAACTTTGTTCAGGTTGTATTTGTATGGATACATGTTACTAACATAAATGTTCCAGAAATTGTATGAAATTCCTAGAAGTCTGCTATGTCCTCGTATAATGTTACTACTTGTAATCTAGTTATTATCTTAAAACAGTATGTCACAGAAATAACCAAATTTTCTTGTCAATTGCATTATAGTGAACACGCATTCGATCTTTATTCGTGGCCATTTTTAAAGTGTTTCACCATTATTAATAGAGGCTACTGTTCTGCTTTTGCAAAAGTGCTTCATCTTCAAGGAGAGTCCTGGAAAGGATTCTGACGAGTACAAATTTCCGGTAACTTCCAAATCATACCACTGAACTGAGCAAGAACTTATAAAACTCTAAGGAAAAAGTGGAATTATACAATTGCTAATACAAGGTGAAGATCAACAAGAATTACATGAGACTGAACGAAAAGGATGGTTTTAATTTTTACGACTATTTGAAATATTATTTCCAGATTTAAGGAGACTTTTTCTTTTCTCCTAAGCTACAGTAACTTGATGAAGTATACCTTAATGAATAAGATGAAATAATTCCTTTTTCTCCCTGATTCCTCCAAAACTTGGAAACTAATAGTGACCACTCTTATTTTCATGGTAATAGCTATTGCTATTAATGCCACAGAAATGGCCACAAAAGCTCATGTTTACAGTCTTCATGCCTGCCCCTTTGCAGACCAGAGTTTACCTCAACCCCTGACGGCATCAGAGACATTCAGACTGCAAACGATACTGTAAACCCAACCTGTAGAAATCATATGAAGGGCTGCCCCCAGGACAGAGGTCTAGTGTAGAATTTGCTCCAACCATTAACCTTTTTTTCCCATAGAAGTGCTTCTTATTTAAATACCTGCTTGCACCACAGAGGCCTAAAATGAGACACAACTTTTTCACCAACCTGAACAATTCTCAAGACCGAGGGAAGTGCTATTTATAGCAGGCACAATGGCTTCAAAGTTACTTCCTGGAGTTGGAACACTGGTGGAGGAGGCCCTCAGGGCCCGCAGTCCCAATGGAGCCAACAAGGTGCACTCCATGGCATCTGGAGGTGGTGTTTCTTTTTTTTTTTTTTGGTATTTATTTATTGTAAAAGAGAGAAAGCACATAAGCAGGGGAAAGGCAGAGAGGGAGGGAGAGAACCCAAAGCTGGCTCTGCACTGTCGGGGCTCAAATGCACTAACCTGAGGTTGTGACCTGAGCCGAAACCAAGAGTCAGATACTTCACCGACTGAGCCACCCAGGTGCCCTGGAGGTGGTGTTTCTACTGCTGATCAGCAGGTGACTGGGCTGGAGAGGGAGGTCGTGACTGCTGCACGGAGGGGACTAAACCCATACAATATGCTAGCCCCAAATGCAGTTTCAGGCACCAAGGAAAACCCTAATTTAGTCGCATCTGTCACCAACAAGTGAATAGTGGGCTGCATCTGAGAAGAGGACAACAGTGCCATCATCTGGTTCTGGCTCACCAAAGGCGAGGCCCGGCGATGCCCTGGCTATGGAACCCATTACAAGCATTAACTTACTCCAAAGGTGCTGTAAAGTTTCTTCTTTCCAATAAAGACTCGCCCTTGCATTGGCTCCTTCTCTCATAAAAAAAAAAAAAAAAAAAAAGAGCAATCAATCAACTCAGCTTCTGGACTGTGAAACGAATCTGAAGCTTCAAAGGCAGCCCCAAAAGGGAGCAGACTATGGCACCCCAAAAATGTGCCTCTTTGGCAGAAGGATTACTTTGAGCTTATTATTTTTAAGAAATAGGAGATATGGCAAAAGCTCTGGAAATCTAGTAAAAGCTACTCTTGTATAAGGGAAATCTCCGTTTGTGAGGGTATCCAGAAAGACAAAGTGACTACGTCATCACAACCTTACTCTTGTTTACTGTGCTTTGCCTGATAGCCACCTATGAGAGGTTCTTCCTCCTCCAACATCTTTCTTAGGTCTTTAGCTGAAGAAGGTACTCAAGGTGAGAGCTTGGCCTGTTTGGGAAGTGGTTCAGTTCTTCTGGAGACCTCTAATGTGTACAGGAGGCATACATACTATTAAACTCCTGGGCTTTTTCCTGTTAATCTGTTTTGCTTGTTTGTTTTACAGGTGGGGGATCTCAGCCAGGAACCTAGAAAGTAAAAGGAAATTTACTTTTCCTCTCCTGCAAGGACATGTAGAAAGTTTGAGTTACATACAAACTATTAAAGTCACAGCATTTTTCTTTTTAGGAGCTGACCCATCAGTCAACGACGAGCTCAAAGAAACACAACGTAATCCAATGCTAATGGCAGAATGGTATATTCTTAGCCTCCTCAGAAAGGCACAGCATACATGGTTCAAACAGCAAAACTGTGGTGGCCATCAGAACTTTGGCAGGGGTTGCATTACGCTGGTTAAACAATTTAGGCTTTTAGCCATTTCGTAAGTTTACAAGACTTGGCCGTGTATATATATACACACATAAAACACACACACATTTTTTACCAGTACAGCACGTATGCTATCTCGAGCCCACTTATGTCAACTTTGGCTGCATGGTGATCAAATTATGGCAAAACTAAGTTAGATATATTAATATAGTCATCAGTTTGGCTTAAAAATATTTAACACAAAAAAAACAAAACCAAACAAATCTTTGATGGCATGTTAAATGCATAGTTCAGCATGGAGACAGAAAAACAATCTAAAATCTCTAAATTACAAGATTTAATAAAAAGCTTCAAACCCCTTAATTTTCTTTTTTGAAAATATCACCCAAACTCATCCTAGAGGTCTCAAGGTATGATCTATAAACTAACAGACGCCTCTGTTACATGATGTGTTAATGCCTATTAAACACACTTAAAAAAACATAAATCACAGTGGCTTTTAAAAATTCTATAAAATATCAAATTCAAAACTTACACAAAATCTTAGAGCCAAAACTCAAGAAAAGAAATATAAAAACAATTTGGGAATCAAGACTTTGAAAAAGGGTGCCACACTCAAATATCTCGTAAGGTCCGACACCTGGCCCCGTGGCCTGCATGACGGGCTCCGTGCTGCCGGGGTGAGTGACGTCACAAGCACTTGCAAATATGTGAGGAGCTTGCAAATCCTGTCTTCTGGAATGGGTGAGAAGTGCACAGCAGCTTTCAAACCAGGTTGAACTCCCTCAGGTTGAGCTGGAGAATCGTGTCTTTCACGGCAGCGAACACAAAGCGGATATTCTCCGTGTCTGTAGCACACGTGAAGTGAGAATAGATGACTTTCTCTTTGTCAGGATTCTGATCTTGGTAAAGCTTCAGGATAAAGTCTCTGGCAGCTTTGACATCCTGCTTTGGTCCTAGTCAAGAGTGTAGTTACAGGAATAAAGAAGAAAGATAGTGACCAACCAACAGGTCCTCCCCCAAATCATTCTCGATACAGTCTTGCTCTTGCGTGGGATCCGTCTTTCAGTTGTCTTAGTTCTAGAGGATAGTTGACCTGGGGACATTAACTTTCATAAAAGAGTCTTTTAAAGTGTTCACTGCCATCTAAAAAATTGTACTTTAAAGCAATTTGTTGAAAAATAGCCAACTTAACTTTTGGATTTGGACCACAGAGGCAGACAGAAGTGAGCTAGGACTAGGGAAAGGAAGGATACAGGAACATGATTAGACCCCCAAGTCTCATTTTAACACGTGAGGGCTCTACCCGATAGGGCCACTGCAGCTATGACCTTTTGGTCATAGGACGCTAAAACCCTAAACATCAGTATCACACTTCCTGATATTCGAGACCTCCTGTACCAGAAATCCTTAGCAACAAGACATAAACTTTCCAGCCAGGGGTAGGTCATATTCATAAAACTGTTGTCTACCGTGTGCCTAGGAAGGGGGCTGCCACACTAACATACACAGAAGAAGTACCGGGCACTCGGACAGAGACCGGAAAGGCAGGGTGGGCACAGTCTCTGCCTCGGGAGCTGCCCACGCGGACAACACTACACAGAGTGACGAAGGCCAGGGGACAACAGAGTGAGCCCCCGCTGCCAGGGGAGCACGCGGGAGGCACACCTATGCAGACGAGGGTGCCGTGAGGGTGAGGAGGACTTCCCGGAGGAGGCGCCTGAGCTGGGTCTTGGAGAAGAGGGTGAAGTTCACAAAAGGTGTTGGCATGCGTGGAGGTGCTGAGGCAAAACACAGTGATGCACCTGGAGCTTCGGTGAGAAAGGGTGTTAGAGGCAATCGGGGGCACGGGGGGCCCTGGGGCCTGACCAATAACTCTGGATGATGCCCGGGAAGTCAACAAGATGGACACTCACCTGTGTATTCTGGGAAGTAGCTAATTAGATGAGAGTACATGATTTTCTCTTCCAAAAGATCCTTCTTATTTAAGAACAAAATCACGGATGAGTTCAGAAACCAGGGGTAGGTAATAATGGTTTTAAATAAGGCTTTGCTCTCTTCCATGCGGTTCTAAGTGAGAAACAACGGGCTTAGGGTTAATAAGAAAAACGGTACTTTGGGAGCAACGTGCTGAAATGTCTGGTCCCACCCATGTGTCCCCTCACCCAGCTACCGGCTCCATATCACTGTCCTTGCTGAAGCTGGTGAGCACCTGGGGCCTCTCAGGATACCAGGTCTCCTGCCTCTATTTCCCCCCCACACCCCCACCGGCTCTCTTAGTCACTCTCTTTGGTATGTGTTCTGTGGCACCGCAAATAAACACACGTAAGAAAGGCTTTTGTGAAACTTGGAAGAAAGTTCCTATCCTATTTGACAAAAGTTTTCTGGGTCATTACTGGGATTACCGAGTGGGGGAAGTGAGTAACTTAGACCCCGGAAGCCCTGTGTCATTGGGGTTGGGCTCCCAGACCACGAGGGGGAAGCTCCTGGAGCCCAGCCACCGCCCAGAGGAACGCTGGACACGGGCAGAGCGAGGAGCGCACGCTGCTGACACACTTCACGTGTTGGCAATACGGAGGAGCTCTACTCGGGGCACAGCGTCCCCATTTGATGGATGAGCAGAGTGGTGTTCACAAGTTTAAATTATGTCCCAAGCCCATGTGGTAGTAGGACCTGATCAAAATTACGTAGAAACACCGTCAACATCTCTTAACATTTGACATTGGCAAGAATACACCAAATGTTCCTACTTCAGGGAGAGTAGACAGGGCACATAGAAATCTCATCTGGTGACAATAATTGTTCTTAGATAGTACTCTATTCTGAAGGTTTTTTTTTTTTTTTAATCTTTATTTTTGGGAGAGCGCAAGCCAGGGAGGGGTGAAGAGAGGGGAACAGAAGATCCCGAAGCAGACTCTTTGCTGACAGGCTGACAGCAGAGAGCCCAACGCGGGGCTCGAACTCACAAACTGTAAGATCATATCCTGAGCCAAAGTCAGACACTCAACAGACGGAGCCAGCCAGGCACTCCAGCTCTAAGAGTAAAGAAACAGCAGCTTCCCTTTAGACAGAGGGAAGTGCTCAGACAAAACCATGAAAGCCTTGCACGCCCACTGCGGAGGAACATGCTGTAAATCTGTTTGCCTACGAGTCCTGTACACTGGGACTCATTCTCTTGCTCGGTACCCTTTTGGGAATTAAGATCTGGCATTTATTACCAGATAGGTAACCCCTCAGTTGTTAGTATTTTTTTTTTAATTTTTAAAAATGTTTTTATTGATTTTTGAGAGAGAGGGAGACACAGAATCCAAAGCAGGCTCCAGACTCTGAGCTATCAGCCCTGAGCCCGACGCCGGGCTCCAACTCACGCTCTGCAAGATAATGACCTGAGCCGACTTAGAAGCCCGACCAACTGAGCAACCCAGGTGCCCCGTCTCTCAGTTGTTTTCAAAGCTTAACAAAAATTTATTATCTTTTCAGTAATGATCTCCTAGGAAAGACAACACAGCCGACTCTTGAATAGCGCAGGAGGCGGGGGCGCTGACCTACCGGAAGAGTCGAGAATGTGCACGCACAGGCACCCGGGTGGCTCAGTCGGTTAGGCGTCCAACTCTTGATCTCAGGTCATGATATCATGGTTTGTGACACTGAGCATCACATTGGGCTCTACACGGACAAGGCAGGGACTGCCTTCGATTCTGTCTCTCCCTCTCTCTGCCGTTCTCAGCTTGGTCCCTCTCTCTCCCTCCCTCAAAATAAATAAGCTTAAAAAAAAAAAAAAGAAAATGTGCATATAACTTACTTCTCCCAAAACTTAACTACTGCTAGCCTACTGTTGACCAGAAGTGTCACCAACAATCAATTAACACGTATTTTATATGTTATGGGTGTCGTATACCATATTCTTACAATAAAGCTAGAGAAAAGCAATGAGAAAATCCTAAGGAAAATACACAGTGTACTGTATTTATCGGGGAAAAAAACCCACGTATAAATGGACCCATGCAGTTCAAACCTGTGTTGTTCAAGGGTCTAGCGTATACGAAGAAACAATTCCTACACAGCCCAGGGAGGGGACGCAACAGATAATTACAACAGGGATAGGAAGGTTTGAGTGGCAGCCACTTAATCTTTCTCCAGATACCTTGTGACTTCCGGCAAAAAAGAAAATGTCTAATTTCTACACATATAGGGCTGAGGCGTTGGTCCCTTGTGCGCCTGAATGATCTTTTGAGTTTTCTGAGAAACATTAAGTAATCCCGAGACAAATTGGAAGCTAATTTTTCACATTGATAACGTGACGCCTTTTTGCTTTTTTAACAAAATGTCTCCCTTGGAAGAGCTGGGGGGCAGCCAGGATTGCCATGTTTCTCTGCACAATGACGCTAGTAAGTGGGTTAATCCTCCACTAAGTAGCTACTGTAACTGTGCTCCTCAGAGAAAGGTCTGCTCTCAAGAAATACAAGATCCCATTTGTCCGGTGATTTCCTAATCCTGGGCAGAGTTCTTCACTGCTTTACAATCACGACCCAGAAGCAAGAGACATTTTTCTACGAGGTCAGGATGTGTCGTGCAAGGGTTGGGAAAAGACCAGGGGAGGACAATGGTGTCCCACAGAGCACAACCCCACCTCGCAACGAAGTGACAGGAATGGCTCTCCCCACTTCCTGGGCAGACACAGTTAATGGAGTTTGACCCAGCTAGGACTATGGCAACTTTGCAGGGGACACGGGTAGGTCCGAACAGCTCCAAGCATCTGGCACCACTCCCCATGCCAGCTCAGTTAGGGACCTAATTAGGGTGCACCATGGAGGTTGGGAAGCCTGTTCTCATTATATTTACTGGAAATGGCATTGCTCTGGGGCACCCGCATGGCTCAGTCGGTTAGGCATCCAACTTCGGCTCGGGTCATGATCTCACAGTTTGTGGGTTCGAGCCCCGTGTCAGGCTCTGCACCGACAGCTCAGAGCTTGGAGCCTGCTTCGGATTCTAGCCTCCCTCTCTCTGCCCCTCCCCTGCTTGCGTGTGCGCGCTCTCCTCTCTCAAAAATAAGCATTGTCTTAAAAAAGAAAGAAGTAACATTGCTCAACTTGGGCTATATGTTAGTACCCATAAAGGGCTTGGAAAAGATACCTCCAAACTCAGACCCAGGAAATACGAATCTCTCCCGTGGGGTCCAAAAGATGGTCTTTTTTAAAACTCCCCAAGGGGTCCCAATATGCAGCCAGGCTGAGAACCAAAGTCTGCAGGGACTCTACCCCCAGCAGCACAGGAGCTTAGATCCCAGGCTCAGCCCACACCCACCTCAACTAAACCAGAATCCTGAGTTGGACCCAGGTGCCAGGTTTTTCGCAATGATCCCCGGGGAAGCGCAGTGTGTATCCCACTTTGAGGACCAGGTTTCTAGGCCAGTGATTCTCCCGCTTCCCCGTGTATTTCATTCAGTTTGGGTTGACTGACGAGGCACGCATTTCCAACAAGTGCCCAGATGATGGCGGTGCTGCTAAGCCAGAGACCACGCTTGGACCAGCCAAGCCGGCTTAGCCTCAAGAACGGAGTCCAGAGCGCTGGCTTCTTGCAAACTGCAGACAGAGTCCCCGTTTTCCACAGCCGTCCCCTTCCCCGCCCAGCGTACCTCGTTGTCACACTCGGCCAGGACCTGGTCGTATTCACTCAGAGCAACCAAAAAGATAATGGAGGTGACGCTCTCAAAGCAATGAATCCATTTCCGTCTCTCAGATCGCTGGCCACCAACGTCTACCATCCTGTTCAACAGAAACAGAGATCATTCAAAGGTTGGCGTGCATGGCTCTCTGGGAAAAAAGGGCAGGAGTCCTTATATTGTGGAAACTCGTTAGGGTCCTCAGTAATTGTTTCCGAGCAAAAAGGGGCCTTACGGTTAGAATGTGTGAGCACCGCTCCATGAGGCAGCGAGGAACCCTAGATGCTTCCTAGAGCAAAGGAGGCACAGGATGCAAGCAGAGTTACTGAAGACAGATGTAGAGGTCACTCGGGGGGAGCCTGCTCGGGGACGCTGGTTTGGAAGCTGCTGCAACAGTCCAGGCAGGAAGCACAAGCATCCACTTAGCTGTGGCTCGAACCACGGCCGAGTGTCAGGACACCAGACACACAAGGGGCAGGAAGGTGGGCGGTCTTCCAGGTCCACTCAGCCGGATTCGGGCCCTCACCCCCGCCTGTTTTTCACCACTCCTCAGATTTCTCCAGAAATCCTCTCTGCCTTAGGTGGATGCCACCCCTTCTGCCCTATAAAGACCTACAAGTTTCCTCCGTCCTATATGGAAACCCAAGGCCTTCCTCTGTGTCTTGGGGAAAGACTTCAGAGTCATAGCCCCAAGATGGCCCCGGAGCGCGAACGCTCCAGGAGTCGGGCAGTTTTCGCAAACGAGTCAAGTGGGTCTCTCCAAAGCACGACAACAGGCAACTCGAGAATGCTAGGGGCCCTGTCTGCAGGGTCGACTGCCATGCAGCTGGATAGAAACGCACCCCATGACCGGACCCTCAACCTTTCAGAGAAACCAGTTACCAAGTGTTTTAAGCAAAATGGACCAAGTTTCAAAAGTTGTTTAAAAACACCATGTGGGCCAAAGAGAATACATCTGTGGACCAGATACCAGTTTTCCAAGTAGCAAGCAGCACTGATTCTGAAATAGTTGTGTTCATAAATTCATGGCATTCAGATACAGATTTTTAAGTTTATTATTATTATTTTTTTTTTTTTGAGAGAGAGATGGGGGCGGTGGGGAACAAGAGCAAAAGTAGGTCGGGGGAGAGAGAGAGGGAGACACGGAATCCGAAGCAGTCTCCAGGCTCTGAGCTACGAGCACACAACCCGATGTGGGGCTCGAACTCACAAACCGTGAGATCATGACCACAGCCAAAGTCGGACACTCAACCGACTGAGTCACCCGGGCACCCCCAGATGCAGATTTTCAAGGGGCTCGATCAGAGCAACAATGCTCCGAAGCCTTGAGATGGAACAGGGTTTACAGACAGCCTGGGTGTGGCAGGGTGGGACCTGTGTCCATCTCCACTGGAAAAGCATAATGTAATTAGCCCTAAGGAGGAACATGGGAACCAAGGGATATAGAATTGCTTTGAAATTTGCAATGCTGGGCATATGTACCATATTACTAATTTGTTGCCATAATTAGGTGCAATGAAGGTCCACTTAAGTCATCCTAAAAGTACTTCTTATATTTATATGTGGGAATTCATACATTTTTACACAGCTGTAAATAGTTTATATGTATTGTGTAATTTTTAATCTTTTTTTAACATTTATTTATTTTTGAGAGAGAGAGAGAGAGAAAGAGCATGAGTAGGGGAGGGTCAGAGAGAGAGGGGGACACAGAATCTGAGCTCCAGGCTCTGAGCCGTCAGCACAGAGTCCAACGCGGGGCTCAAACTCCCAAACCGTGACATCATGACCTGAGCCGAAGTCGGACGCTTAACCGACTGAGTCACCCAGGTGCCCAGTGGTAATTTTTAATACACACTTTTGTGTTGGCTCTTTGTTGTTGTTGTTGTTGTTTTTTTTTAAATAGATGTTAGAGAAGGGAATATAAGGGAAGAGAAATAGTCAAATTTAGGGAAACAACATCAGTGTTTTCAATTTGTGGTTACAGAAGGACACATCTATGTGTGCGTGTGTTTTACACACAGGAATCGCTCCAGACTTAGGTAAGGAGACTTTTATGTTCTACGGGGAACAGGAAGGGGAGTTCCTCTCCATTCTAGGAGCGGAGACCTGTCACAATTCTAAACACCTCGTGACGGGCAGGGTCATACGGCTCTAGGAGCTGTAACCGCTTTTAGGAATAACGGACTTAATTTGGGGACTTCCAAGACCGGACGGATTCTTAAAGGACCACATCAGGGAGACAGTCTTACCGAAAGATGATGTTCTCCAAGTCAAACGGATACTCGATGATGCCGGTTGTGGGCACGCGAACACGAAGCACGTCCTGCTGGGTTGGCACGAAGGACGGCATTGCGATCCGGTCAATGTCGGTCAGGTAACTGTGAGAGCAGACAGCAAGGCGCCAAGACTTGTGTCAGACATCGGGGAAGTCAGCCTAACTCACTGCACCCCCACCTCCCCCCCACCCCCCCGCCAGGCTCAAGGATTCCAGCCAAGATTTCTCGAGACCTGGTGCTGACCAGGCACCCCACCCCAACTGTGACCGTTTGGGAGGGAATGTGGATCAGAAGCTCCCATGAGCCCCTGGGAAACCTGTAAATCATGCCATCTCTTCCTCTAGGCTCCAAGCTCTGTCTCTCTGGCTGGCCAGTGAGGGAGCCGGCGGGTCGGAAGGAGAGGCTGTGGGGATGGGCTCTCTGACCCTCCCCCATCCCACACTCACCCCCCCTCCACAGTGTAGAATGTAGACGCTGTTCTCAAGGGCGTTGCTCGATGATTTAGAGTTTCTATGAGAATATAAAGGTATAAACAGGCCATCTCAAAGTTCCTTCACGAGAAAAAGTTTACTGTTTATTGGGAAACTGAACATCCACAAGAAGCCAAAACCGGTCTCAGATGATTTCTGGCCGTACATTAAATTCCTAAGCCGAAAACAAATCACTCTTTCTGTGGCCAAATGAGAGGACACTTTTTTTTTTAAGCTCTGAGTCCTTTCTAAAAGGCATTTTCGAGAAAAATGACCATAACCAGGCCCTGGCTAACAACGGGAGTGGTGATTCGGAGGCTCCCACAAAGTAAGGTTTGGCCCTGTCTTCTCCCTGCGCAGACAGACCCGGGCTAGGATAGCGGTGCCCAGCAAGCGGCGTGAAGGGGAGCCCGGGGGGGACAGGCCAACCCTATTCACCGTGCAGCCCTCACTCCAAGGAAGCAAACCACACTCCGTCAGACCGTATGTCGCTTGAGGACAGAGAGCACTGGCTGTACCTGCAGCTCTTACCCCGGTGCCTGGCCCACAGCAGGCACACACTGAAGTTCTGTCGAGGGAACGCCTGGCCCGATAAGCGGATGACAACTACGGACCCGGACCAAGGACACTGCACAAGCGCCTTGAATATTGCCAAGTCCAAAGGCGGGGCAACACCGGGTTTCTGAGGGCCACTCTGTTTGCAGCCCTGTCCACCTAGCTGTTCCCTACAATCCTGCCAGTGCGTGAGCTCCGCTGTTCAGGGCTCCACCGGGTCTCCTCCAAATGGATCTACATCAAGAGCCCCGGCCACTCCCCAGGACCTTCACAGAAGCCGATGACACTAGGCTGTCTCAGGGAAGGACCGGAGATGGCTTCACTGACTTGAGGTTGTCTCTCACTCTACAGCTGCCAATGGCAGTCTGTCCTCTTCCTTGGGACACCGCCTTCCTTCCTTCTGGATCTTTTCTGAGCTGACCCAACACCTTCTCTGGGCTTCTTTTATTTCCTTTTCCTAACTGACTGCTCTGTTGCAGCTAAATATTCCTGTGCTTAGGGTGGTTGTGCAAACCTGGGTTAATGGCATTGAACACTCGGCCGGGCACACGCATCAAAGGGCTTCGAGATTTCAGGTTTCCTTTCCTGACCACCGCCTTGTCCAGACGATGCGGGTGAACCACTTCCCCGCACCAGCTCAGAGGGCAAAGGCAACACCGGAAGGGAAGGGGATGCACCCGCGGGGAAGGGCAAAGAATTCTGGGGCCCTCAGACGACGGAAGATGACATGGGGCAAAGGGGAAGGAGCTGAGATGCAGAAGCAGGAATCATCACCTCTTCAAGAAGGAATATGATAGATCTGTTTTGTCCAGTGACCTAGATGACAGAGAGGCATGGCCTCAAGAAATTCTTAAGACGATGAAATGCTGTGATCTCCACGGGATAGTTTGTGTGCAGGACCATCTGTTTCGTTTTTCCTTAGAGATTAATGATTTAAAACTAGAGCTTTATGAATCAAAAATATAGTGTGCAGGCCTTCCCAGGGAGTCAATAAGCAAAGGGCCCCCGGACTGAGCTTCCTGCGTGCACTGGGCCTGCAGAACCCGTCTTGCCCACTAGAGGGAAGCACCAGATCAGCCACGGGCGTGGGCCTATTTCACTGCTGGTCTGCACTCTGATTTTTTTTATTATTATTATTTTTTCTTACTATGAAATTTATTGTCAAATTGGTTTCACTCTGATTTTAGATTTGAGGACAGTTGGATCTGCTGTCTACTGATCAGGAAACCAGAAGGCAGAGGGATATGGAGAAGAGGAAAGTAGAATCCAGAAGCGGTGGTCGTCCGTATTTAAGTCAGAAAATTCCAGCACCCCAAATGAGATGAGTCCCCTCAAAGGGAGCCCGTATTGGATTGAGCTTCTTGTTGAAAAAAACAGACAGCTGGGTGGCTCAGTCAGTTAAGCGACCAACTGTGGCTCAGGTCATGAGCTCAGCGGTTTGTGAGTTCGAGCCCTGCGGCCGGCTCTGCGCTGACAGCTCAAAGCCTGGAACCTGCTTCGGATTCTGTGTCTCCCTCGCTCGCGCTCTGCCCCTCCCCCACTTGCTTGCATGTGCGTTCTCTCGCTCTCTCTCAAGAATAAGTCAACATTAACAACAATTTTTTTTTAAGAAAAAAAAAAAAGAAAAAGAGGCTTAGAACACAGCAACGAAAGGTGAACGTGGACAAGGACAGAGTTTTTCGGGGGTGGTAAGAGACGCACCAAGAAGTCAGAGGGGACGCTGACAAGCGGGAAGGAGGAAGTGTTGCAACCGAGGGCCCACGTTTTATAGGCAGCTAGTTCCTCCCCAGCCAGAAGCTTCCTCGAAGCGTGGCCACGTGTGCCCGATGCGCGTGGGGCTAGGCCGGGCTCTGTACTCACTATCTGGCAGAGTCCGAGAGCTGATACTCCCTCCTCCTGTCGTAACACTCCTGGATTCCCGGGTCCTGCCACAGCTGCTTGATGGCCTCCACCTGGTCCCTGGAGAGCGCACAGACCTTGTCCACTTCCACTTCTCGGATGAGCTGGGCATTTTCCTAAGCGAAGGAGAGAGATGCTTTTGGTGGGCAAAGGCAAAGGAAGCCACCCCGCTGGTGACATGGGGACAAGATTTCCCCCGGTCTGTGGATCCGGGAAGATCTCACTAGATGCCCGGGGCCCTCCAGGGGAGCCGCTCGCAGGCAGGCACTCAGCTACGGTGCAGACGACGTGGCTGCGGAAACCGGGCAGAGCCACGGACAGATCAAGACCCGCGGCTTTCGGTCCCAGCGGGACCCAGGGGCCACTTTCACCAGCGTTCAATACCCAACTGTGAACAGAGAAGCCCAAGCGCGAGGGATCCTCACTGTCATCGGGGCGTCTGCATCTCAGGGCAATTTGAAAAGTACCATTTTTATCGTCCTGGCGTACAAGGGTGGGGTGGTGAAGGAGGTCCACCTCCGTGCAGTAAGGGACTGCCGTGCCTTCAGAGAATAGCCAGTTCGATGTCAGTCTGCTGTCTTTGTCCTCTTTCCCTTCTTTTGGTTTTTTTTTCCTTCAGTAACTTAGACTTAATTTCTTACAGCAGTTTTAGGTTCAGCGCAAAGCAAAGGAAGTGCAGAGAGTTCCCATCCATTCTGCTGTTTATCATCACGCATCACTGATACGACCCTTTCCCGTTGCAGAACCGCTCCCATTGCAACTCCCCATGCCGATGATTGCTGTAATATCGTGATGTTTATCGTTACTGTCATTAAATAACTCTTGCTCCTACCCCACTGCTCCATTATTACCGTACTTGTTAAGATCGCCATGGCTGTAATTACCACTATTAAAGCAGTTAACATGTATTGCCCACTTTGCATGTGCCGAGAGGTACGCACACATTATCTCATTTAATCCATGTAGGGCAAGCACGGGGCCGCACCTCTCACCAAACCTTAGCAATGAAAATGCTAAGGTTGGGTTACATCCTCAACATGACCACGTGTTGGCCGCAGAGGTCCAACATCCCATCCCTTGGCCGCATATTGCAGCGGACAAGAGAATCCTGCCGAAGGAGACGGGAGCCCCGCCTTTCCTCTGCTCTGCCGTCCTGCCACATCTCAGGGCAATGACATCACGCAGGGCCGGCCACCCACCGGCAGCTGTCAGCAAAGCATCCGCTTAGCAGCTGTGATCTCCTGGAGTCTATACGGTACTCCCTGAAAAGTTGCTCCTGTCTTGCATTATTCATCCTCATTAACAGCCCGACAGGAAGCTGGAGAAAAGGGAGATCTTACAGATTCACTCGGCTCAGGGCAAAACCGAGGGCTGGGATGACATCAGCATGGCTCTGCACCCCACCCACCGAGGGTGGATATAAACTCTTTCCCTGGACTGTGGGAGGTCCTGCCTGGTCCTTGGCAGGTAGAAGACCCCGGGTGTAGAATCTCAAACAGGTGTAAGCAGAATAGATCCGTGGGAAGCACCCCGGGCTGGGAATAAGGAGCTCGAGTCCGACTAGTGCAGCTGGGACTTTTAAAGACTCCAAGGGTTACCGATCTCGGCATCCTCGTTTGTGAAAGAAGCCAGCGATTTTTCAAGGAGTCTGATTTATAAGCTAGTAAGTACCAGCCAAATGTGAGCAAAATTAGCCTTATCATTGTGGTGGACGCCTAATAAATATTTGTTTGCAAAAAGAGGGCACGCTGACAGCCTTTAAACCATGACTTCCAATCCGCCCACAAGCACATTGGACATCACCTGCCTTACTCTAAGCCAGAGAGAACGAAGAATGGAGAACATGGACAGAGTCTGTAGGGAGCCAAAGGGTGGTCTTCTCCTTCCTCCCTGCCTCCCGCCACCGTCCTCCTCCCACATACAATCACGTGGTCTCTTCCCACCTGGGGCATGGCTCTACGTAAAGTGTCTGTTTTCTTCCCCTTCGTAACCGGTCAGGTCTTCGTAACCGGTCAGGAAATGCCACAAGGGCAGAGCCAATGTCTTCCCTGTCCTTCTATCCCAGAACCTAGGGCAGTGCCTGGCAAATAACAGGTGTTCTAGTGATGCAGGCATCTAGCCAACATTTGGGGCACATAAAAAAAAATTACTTAACAGAACATCACGAGAAAATAACAGCAAAAGAACTTGAGGACAGTATGACAGAGGCCCGTGTCAGTCACAGCAAGAGCACAGAGGAGCTCGGAGGCAAGAAAGTGTCTCAGAGTAGGAACCGCTCTGGTGATTTCTGGCCAGTCTGTCGCTCTCACTCTGCCCCTGGTGGCAGGCAGGCAGAATCGTTGCTTCAGGGATGCCTGCCTCTTAGGCTGCTCTCCTAAATAGGACTATTTTAACTTGTAAAACGGTCATCTCCGCACCCAACGTGGTACTCAAGCTCACGACTCCGAGATCCAGCTGGATGTTCCACTGACTGAGCCAGCCAGGCGCCCCCTAAATATAACTCCTACTCTCAGCTTAACTCCTGAGAGAGAGCACTGTGAGAATCATCGGGATGTTACAAATATTCCCACCTCCCCTCCTCACAAATGTCATGGAGAATTGTACTTCACGGTGGGTGAAGCAGAAGTGGAACCAACACTTGTGTCTTTTAGAAAGAAACTTTAAAGAGCCACTGAGTAATTTACCACACTCCCTTTCATCTACTGGGGTGATGGTCAGGAGACAAGATGGAGCCTCAATCAGCCGGGCTTCCTGAGCAAGTTCAATGAGCGGAGATTCCCACAACACACTGCACACATAGCATGAGCGAGAAATCATCTTTCATTGTGCTAAGTAAGCTGAACTGTGGGGGCAGTTTGTTCCCGGAGCACAACCGGCTCTCTTCTGACTGGCCCGTGTTACAATGGAGAAGTCCAGTATTTGACTCTGGCAGGAGAGAGAGAGAGAAAAAATGCAGCCCCGTGAGATATCCCAGAGGAATGTAGGCTTCTACATGGGCACCCAGTTGGGGTGGGGGGTGGGGGGGCAGGGAAGGGGGTACAGAGGCTGTGGAAAGACAAATCTGAGCTTTCGGGGAACCAGGGGAGCTCAGCCAGGAAAGCAAGATCTAGTTCAGCCAAGTGAGGGGACTATGGAGGGACCCGGGCTTGAAAGAAGGGACCTCAGTCTCCTTACAAACCCAGCAATTGGGAACTGGATTTGGGACCCAGTGAATTCAAGGAGCCCAGACGTATTCCAAGTTTAGAGCTCTCCTCCTGGCTAAGGCTCCCACCTGTTGAGATCATGCTGTTTAAACTTACTTTGGAATAATGGAAGATGGGGAAAATGATAGAAGTTCCTCTGTGCCTTTCAAGATTGTCCCGATGTCGACGATTTATGGCCATGCCTTATCATCCATCCCCTTTCCAGACACACACGCACATAGACTTGCCACCTGAAGGACTTGAGGGGACGTTGCAGACCCAATGCCTCTTCATTGCTAAAGACTTTGGTGTGATTTCCTAAAAACGAGGACCCTGGACTATAAAAACCACAGTGTAATGACCAAAAGCAAGAAGCGTAACATTGATACAATATTGTGATCTCATCTTCAGACCTTCCCCAAAGTCTGTCAGTTGTCCTCTTTTTTTTTTTAATTTCTTTTTTTTTAACATTTATTTATTTTTGAGACAGAGGGAGACAGAGCATGAACGGGGGAGGCACAGAGAGAGAGGGAGACACAGAATCGGAAGCAGGCTCCAGGCTCTGAGCCATCAGCCCAGAGCCTGACGCAGGGCTCGAATTCACGGACCGTGAGATCGTGACCTGAGCTGAAGTCGGACGCTCAACCGACTGAGCCACCCAAGCACCCCTGTCAGTTGTCCACTTAATGCCCTTTATCTGCCCCATCTAGGATCACATCACACAGTTACTTGCCTCTGTGGTCTCTATTTATCTGGAAAGGTTCTACGGTCGGATATCATTTTGTCACCTGATCGAGAATGGCCTGACGAGGACATGAGTTTGGCTGGGAGGGAGAGTGGCCCAGTCACCGCCCACTGTGGGTCCTTTGGACCCCTGTGGATCGTTCCAGGAAAAAATATTGTGAAGGGTGGAGAGGAGTGAGAAAGTGAGTGACCCATTTTTAAATACATTTTATTGAAATATGAATGACTTTGAGGGGCCTGGGTGGCTCCGTCGGTTAAACATCTGAATCTCGATTGCAGCTCAGGTCATGATCTCACGGGTCATGGGTTCAAGCCCCATGGTGCGGACAGTGGAGCCTGCTAGGGATTCTCTCTCTGTCTCCATCTCTGTCTGCCACTCTCCCGTTTGCACATGCCCGCAATCTCTCTCAAAATAATAAAATAAAAAACGAAGGATGAATGACTGCTGTACTGTTAACAATGTCTGTGTGTTATAAAAAGTGGGGTTTCATACATATTTTCCCATGGCCTGGTGAAACACTTCCAAGCACAGCAGGAGCACTTTGATGAGCACGTTCTAACGAGGGCGCACGAGGAGCAGAGGGCCCCTGAGGCAACGTGGGAACACTTTTATGTTGTCTACGACTGGCCCCTTGGGGCGCCTGGGTGGCTCCGTCCGTGGAGCGTGTGACTCTTGATTACCGCTGACAACGTGATCCCGGGGTTGTGGGGTTGGGCCCCGTGTTGGGCGCAGGGCTGAGTGTGGAGCCTGCTTGGGATTCTCTTTCTGTCTTCCTCTGCCCCTCTCCCCTACTTGTGCTCTCTGTCTCTCAAAAGACTGGCTCCTTGAGCTGAAGGTCTAAAATGGCGACGGTAGGCAGTCCCTCAGCTCCCCTGCGGCACCCCCCTGGGGGGACACACCAAATCCACATCTATCTATAGAGCAACGCTGAGGGCTGACTGAACAGCTTCTGTACCACAGAAGCTAGAGAGACCACACAGAGAACAGCAAGACAGAAAGGGGCACAGCAATGCGGGGACGCCCCCCTCCCCAGCACCGACGACGCGGCCAAGTGCAGTGGGGAGGGGTAGTCCTGAAGGACCCTGAGCAGATTTATCTGCCCCGGGGGCACGGCAAAGGGCTGCAGTTTAAAAGAGCAGCTAGTATATAAAAGATCCAGCCTCCAGAAAACGGCAGGAGAGCTGCTGGG